ATGGACAGACCGAGATGTCCCTAACGATTGCGAACACCTTGATGAGGCTGGAGCGGGCCTCCGGCTTCAGTTTTGCTACCAATATTATTCTAAAACACTAACATAGCTGTTAATGCAGTCTCTATGTCACCAAGAAGTATTAAATATGTCTGTGTTTTCTTCCTTTTTTTCGTTTAGCCATCATTCTCATTTTAGCCATGTGTGGAATTCTCTCCTCTTCAAACTTCATACTTCTTCCACAACACATTAATTCTGAATATCCCATAAACTCTTGCTGAATCATATCAGAGGGTAGGTACATTTAGTCTTAGCATTTCTGTTCCGTGCTGTAAAAGCAGTTCAGTCCATCTCATCTTCCTTGTTTTTAAAATAGCCCTGCAGTAGTAGAATATTTTCTCTGGAAAAAAATAAGCTGAAACTTGCTGAAAGATAAATACTTAACAAGCAATCATGGAAGAGACAGGATTTACCTGACTGCAACTAGCCAACGTCTTAGCTTGATGTTCAAAAATTATAGAAAGGTTATTTATTAAAACTGGCATGCTGTTCAACTTACCTCCTTGTTTATAAATTGTTAATTCTCGTACAGTTTCCAAGAACTGCCAAAACTTCTCATTACCATCTTCTGCAATAAATTCACTGTTTAAAAAATAAAAATGAATTGTCCATAGGTTGACTTTCTTCAAAGACATACCATAGTAAAAAATCCTCAGTTGTTTTGAAGTAACAACAAAAACAAAGACCCAGCAAGAATAGAGCACTTAATACCTGGTATGGTTTAGTTAAATTTTGAACAAAATACTACCAACTTTATGGCCAGGGTTGTAAAGTAAAGAGACTACTAATAAACACAGTGTATTTTATCTTTATTTTTTCCATATGCTTACCGATACACTGTTATATATGAAACCAGTAGAGAATACAAACTTTTATTAAATAGCAGCTATACATACACATAAGAACACAGCATTGGGTTACATTTTTAATTCAGTCACAGACTTTTATCCATTACAATGTTTACTGATAAAGAAGGGAGGTCCCAACCTCTCAAACGCTTTCCAAGATGGGTTGTTCGTTATAATTGAAAAAGTCTGGGTTTGCTTTATTCTGAATACAGTTTTTACACTTACTGGTAACACCTCTAAAGTCTTTCTTAAGAGAACATCAGCTGTTTTTTTTCCTTCCCCCTTACATCTGCCAAAAAGATGGAGTTGCTATCATGAGTGCATTGTTTTCTAATGCTTACTTTGGAACCTTGCCACTTTGATTACAGGAGCTTGCAATTCTCCCTTTTGTGGGAGTCCTCCATACAGCATTAAGCACGTTGAAATTAAATAAGCGAAAGATTTTGTAAAACAAACTTGCTCAGGAGCCACAAACATCTAACACCAGAAAGCACGTAGGCTTCAATATTTTGAATTTATGATTGCAAATTAACAGTCTGCACTTTCAGAAGACACAATTTACTACTGCAGCTCCTCATCTTCGTCAGTGCGTTTCCTTAACCTGGGTGAGAGGAACTCATCAGAGAATCATGGAATCACTTGGGTTGGAATGGACCTCAAAAGCACACAGCTGTGGGCAGGGCTGCCACTCACCAGCCCAGGCTCCAGGGCCCACCCAGCCCGGCCCTGAGCACCAGCAGGGCACAATCTCCAGGGACGGGACACACCAGGCTGAGTTACCCACCTCAGCAACCTTACCAGCAAAGCATCTGAGTATGTTAACGGAAAAATAATGACAAACAGCACACTGAGGGCAGGGGAAGGGGTGCTAACGGCACGTTACAACCGAAGGTGAGCAGTTTACCTAACTCGAGCAACAGAGAGAACACGGAGACCCGCCCGCCTCCCCTCCCGACCCCCGGCCTGGGCAGCAAACGCCGCTCCCTTCCCCCGAGGAGGGCGGCGGGGGCTGCACGCACCTCGCCTCCAGCAGCAATGGGGTCGCCGGCCATTTCGCCGCCAGCCGAGCCGTCACGGCCGGGGAGGAGGCCGGATCCCCGCGGCAGGGACACGGCCGCACCCGCAGGAGGACCAAAAGGGCGAACAGCAGCGAGGCGGCAGCCATAAGACAGCGCGCACCACACTCGGACAATCGCCGCCCACACGGCTCCCGCTGCCCGGAGCGTGCCTCGTCCCGCCCACGTAGCCAATGCCTTGCTTCCATTGGCCACCCTGTGCGCTCTCTATCGGACTATTGGCTACTCTAGAGGCCAATCACGGACAGACGCCATATAAATACAGTGGAGTTGTACATGCTCGCGCCTTGACACGCGGCTTCGGAGCCTGGGCGCATGCGCGGAGTAGTGGCTCGCAGAGGGAGGCGGTGCTGCGCGCGCAATGGAGTGTTGGTAGCGGTTCGTCCCTGAGGCGGAGTTCATCTCCTGCCATCTGTCAGCTACCTTTCTGTGTGAAGCAGTTGTATTATGTTTGATTTTATATTGATATTTGAGAGGCTGCTGCTGCTTCACTGTAATTTCATAATGGGTTGTAGTTTTCATACAGTTTATTATTTGCCATGCAAAAGAACCAAAGTTTTGTTGCTGTTAGTTATGGAAATGCTACTTTGAATACTGTGGTGAGATAAAGTGGAGCTCTAAATCAATGGTAAGATAATTAGCCTAATTATTACAGAAAACCATTAATTGAGTGTTTTGTCTTGCAGAAAGATCCTTTCTGCTTAAATGCAGAGGTCTCCATCAGACACAATCTCTTTCCCAACACATTTATCTCTCCAATATAGGGCTATTTTTTAATCAGATGCCTAAAATTTGGGATCATAGATAAGTTCATTTACTCTGTCTTGTCCAACCTCCTGCTCAGAGCAGGTCTCTGAGGTCTTTGTCCATCACAAGGATGGCACCTACACCTCTTTGAGCATTTTGACCGGTTGCTTGATTCTGCTCTTCAGAAGTAAGTATGGTTTTGTAACAGAGCAGCACCTTCTCTATAAAGGAAATATTTGTGTATATCCATCTATGTTCCAATATTTATATTCATCTTTCCTTTGGTACCTTGACTACGTTCTAGCCACAAGGAGCCAAGGTACGCTTTTCAAAAATCAATTTCTTCATATTTATGCAAAGGCAGATTTTAATCTTTTAAGCAGTGTGCAAACCTAGGAGATGGAGAGCAGACTTAATCTTCATTTCTCCAGCAGAGTTTTATGCAATTAAGTATTCCAAATAAGAGACTTAGACATTGCTGTATGCACATTTCATATGTATGAGGAAAACGCTCAGTTCTCTTGAACCATTTTTCAGCAGAACAGAAAAACAATTACAGTAGAACTTCAAAATTATTCATCTCACAGCTGTGTAAATAAGAATTGATTATCATAGCTGTTTCAGTGTGAATAAAGGAAGTGATTAATGAGGGTTTCTCAGTAAGATGCAAATGTTTTGTAGTATAAGTCATAGTGAACTATGTCTACTTAATTGAAACCGTAGTACTAAGTGGGAATAAGTTGAACTTTGTCAGTGTAATCAGTTAGCTGAAAATACAACTTCTTATAGATTGAAAATTTTTAAGCTGAAGGGCTCCCTTTCTCTCTCATTTGGAGGTAATACAAATGACAAACACTAGTCAAATGATATTGCTGTTACCTAGTTATTGATTTACAACCTTCTGAGCAGTGAGTGCTGGCCTCCTTTTACTTTGCTGTGAGTTTGGATGCTAATCTCTTCAGAACCTATAGCGTTGTTCTCTGCATTATGAACAGAGCAGGTCTTTGAGGTATTTCCCTGAAGAGACTAAGTATGAATTTTAAATACTGAATAGCTTGTCATCCATTCCCTTGGAAATGAAGACCAACCTGAATTTTAAGATTAGTATATATCTATATAGCAATATTATGCAATAGACTATATAGACATATGTCTATATAGTGAAATTTTGCAATGAAGAGTGCAGAACATATTTTTATAATTTATCTCTTCTTTTTGACTTGCAGAGAAGAGCAAATACGAAAGTTGTTGGAAAAGTAACAAGCCTGATTTCAGCAGCTTAGAAGCTGTTCAGTGGCAACTCTGGTGATCATAATCTATGCTGCTTTGCTGTAAGCCTACATATGCTACTGTAGTAAATGTTCTTCTCTTTCAAACTTATTAGGAAAAAAAAAAAACAACAACACTTTGCTTTCTGAAATGAACACAGAAGTTACAACTTCTTATGACCCACCTTAGAACCATAAAGACAATACCTCCTAGGTCAGGTGAGACAACTATGAATCTCAAGGAATGTTTATAGTACTTAGTGGACAACAGTAAATTTGGGGGAATACAGCTACAGCTTTTTTGGATACACCAGCTCAAGTTGTAAGCAGTGATGCAGTTCTGTTTTGCCAACTGGAAAATGTGTTTGCAGTGATTTCTGAACCATGCTGACTCACCTGGGCAACTGACTGTGCCAATGAATAAAAACAGAGCTTATCTTTAGCACAGCACAGCTTTCCTGAATCTGACAACACCAGATCTTTGCTTACTCAATCAAGCTCATCATGTAACATGAATTGGGAGTTATGATCTTATTAACTGGGGTGTTCTCACAACTATTTCCTTATTTACAAAATTTTGAGACGTTCTTCTTTGTTGAGAACAAGCATTTTTCCCATTTTCCCTAATTTTGAATCTGTATTTGTGCTTAGTGAAAGGAACATATGATATTGTAAGTAGAATGTCATGGGGTTTTAGTGGAGACCTTCATGAATGGTTGTAGACATGTTTGTAATCCCTAGAATATGTCATTTTACTTATGTTTTTATTATTCAGAAGCAAATATGTTTTGTGACACTTCAGTAATGTTTGTCCAATCTTTGCCAGTAAATTTGACAGGGATACAGGTCTGTGTACTTCAACTAATTTTTAAACAAAGGCTATCAGTGAACAACCTACAGGCAATCTTATTGCAGCAGTATTCTAGCTTGCACAGTAAGTTGATGTGGGGCATATCTGCATGGGACCTTAATATTTACTCTAGACAGTAAAAAGCATTCTATAAAATTCCTGAAAGCTTCAGCAAAGTAGCAGACATAACAGGTGAATCTTAGACTGGTGTACATGTATTGTTTTGAAGTTTCCAAATATGGGGCAGGGATGGTGTGTTTAAAAGATTTAGAGTGAAACTGAGCAGGAGTGAGTTTACTCACTTTGGTCACGTTATGCAATTCAAGGAGAAATTCTTCTGACATCTTTTTCCTTAGAATGACCTGACTGTGGATAACATAAGAAAATCAAGAACTGAAAAGAAGTTGTTTTAGTTTCAGATTTTGTTTGCGTTTTTGTTTTGTTTTGAAATCCAGGTCAAAGATGGCATGAAAATCTCAGTGTTTGACTTGGAATCATAAAATCATCAGAGTTGGAAGGGACCCTTAAAGGTCATCTAGTTCAACTCCCTTGCAGTGAATAGGGACACCTACAGCTAGATCAGATTGCTCAGAGCTCAGTCCAGCCTAACCTCCAGTAGCTCCAAGGGTGGAGCATCCATCACATCCTTGGGCAACTTTTTCCAGTCTCTCACCACCCTTACTCTAGAAAGCTGGTTTATATCCAATCTAAATCTCTCCTCTTTTAGTTTGAAATCATTTCTCCTTGTCCTTCAACCTGCTGACTATGCTTCTTTGGATGCAGCCCAGGATATGGATACTTATTATGTGGGTTTTAAATTTATTTAAATTTGCTTCCTACTGAAAAATACTCTGCAAGTGTAATGCTTTCTCTCATGTTCACCATTTCCAACCCAGCAATTCTTAAATGGTGTTATGTGGTCTGAAAAAAAGATAAGCAAGTGATGCACCAGAAATACAAAAATTATCTTAAAATGTACTGATTCAGGTAGTGATTTAAGTAATAGCCACACACTAATGGTCCCAAATGTAGTTTGCCACAGATATATGCATGGGAGGTTATGACTTCAGCAGGTAAAAGATGTTTATGTAAGAAGTGCTAAGATGAGGTTTTGTTTTACATCATTATTTGATATGTACAAGAAAAATGACTCGGATAATTCTGAAAGCATAGAAAAAACAGCAGCAACAAAAAAAAATCTGTAGTGTGATGCTATGGGTGAATTTACTGAAACAAATATAGTATTTCCTGAAAAGAAGGAATTTACATTTGCATTACCTGTGAATCAGAAGGTGCTGCTGTGTGTGAGATGGAAGAACTAAAGATTGTATGCCTTTCCAATGAAGTATGGCAGTGGTATTTCCTTTTGAGTCAGCTCAGCAACCTGAGCACTAAATCCTTGCTTGAAGGAAGTACATTAAAAAACATAAGCTAAGTTGGAAAAGCAGAGTTGTACTTTTAAAAGTGAAATATTTACAATATGCTTAATACAGGCTTGATGTGGTATGTGGAATGTTTGGGCACTGGAACATGCTCTCCAGGGCGGTGGTTGTGGCACTGAACTGCTGGAGTTCACAAAGCATTTGGACAGCATGGTCAGACATAGCATTTGATTTTGACTTGCCCTCTGTGGGGCCAGGGTTGTGCTCAGTGACCCTTGTGGATCCCTTCCAGCTTGGGATATTCTATGATTAGCTAGGGAGTCCTCAACCAAATTGCTTTTGCCATGCTACCAAAGAGGTAACCTCTGCAGTAACTACTTGTTCTCAGCTGTCTGGAGTGGCATAGTGACACTGGCTTTCATGCAGCTCTGGAACTACTGAATGGGCAACTCACTGTTCAGCCTGAGGTACCTTGGAAGTTGATCCTGCTTTATGCACAAGTAGAACAAGATGACCTCCAGTGTGCTGTTCCAGCCTACGTTAGTCTGTGACTAATGTAAATATAATTTAATTAAAGCTTTGTGTAACTACAACAAGGTAGAACATGTCATGCCACTTTATTGTGTGAAATACAGTGGATTTGTTCCAGTGGAACAAATTTCAATGCTGCTCTTCAGAGTTTGCCATGTTCCTTCTGCTCTGTTTATTATTTTGGTAACAGTAGTGAACTAATATCTGGGCTTCTGGTCTGTCAGGGCTCATTTCAACTCACTTCCCAAATGTGAAGAAGAATGCTTCTGGATAAGTCATCTAAATTCATTCCTTTCAATAACTTATACTGAATGTATTTAGAGGGAACACAGAAGTATTACTTTTCAGTAATGTAAATTAATATTTTATGTCCTTTTTGATTTATCTGAGTATATAAAATTTTCAATTTTTATGATTTATACACAAAGCTAATTACAATCCATTGTCAAGACAGCTTGAAAAATCAATGTAAAAACTAACAGTTACACATAAATGAAAGAGAAGCAAAAAGTGCAGCCACAAGCTATTACACATATAATGAAAATGGATTTATTGCTTAAGTCTCTTATTACCTTCTATTATTAAACCATTAAGAAGGTCCTTTAAGTTTAATCCAAACTGAAAAAGACACATTTGTGTGCATGTGTATATGACATTCCAGTCAAATATGTATTAAATGAACATTTTGAGAATTAAAACCCCCGAAGAAAAAAAATTGATTCCCACATTCTCAGACGTTAGTATTATGTATCCATCAATAAATTATAAAATACATATTTTAAATTCATAAAATATGAAAAAATCATTAGTTGTTTTTTTGGAACATGAATGTATATATTCAGTCACAGAATCCCCAAAGTTGGAAAAGAACTTCAAGATCATCCAGTCCAACTGTCCACCTACCACCAATATTTCCACACTAAGCCATGTCCCTCAGTACAACATCTAAGCATTGCTTGCACACCTGCAGAGTCGGTGACTCCACCACCTCCCTATTCCAGAGGCTGACCACTCTAAAATCCAAACAAACACAGTCCCAGTGAAATAACTGGCCAAGAAACCGAACTGCAAAGCTGTGGTTTATGGCTATGCATGAAGAGATTCAAATATGCAGATTTCTGGAGCTTTGCACCTGCATATTGAAGTGATTACATGTAATTAGCAATGTGATTATCAAATATGTTTTCACATACCGCATGTAATTAGACTTACAGAAACACACTACATTTAGAATGTTTTAATGTAGATAAACTTTGAGGGCAAAAATGAAGTGCTATTAACATAATGCAAATTACTTAACCTCTAATGTGCTAGCCTCTGCATCTCTTGTATCTTTCTCTTGGCAGAAGGATTCCCAGACATGCAAGCTTACTGCAGACATGAACCAGAGGTATGGGTTCTACAGGCTTTTTCACGCCTTATCTGTACTCAAGGTGAATGAGAAAGAAGGCAACGAGATCAGCGTTGGTTGCATGCTATCTTCATGTAGAACTCTTTTCAATATCATTCACTACAATAAAATCATGTATGTGGTTAGATACTTGGCTAATTTCTAAGATTACAAACATATATATGGTAAACATATACGTAATATCTAATGGAAAACTAACAAAACATTATATTTATCCCTTAATTTGTGATAAAGCTGGGTTCCATACTGGAATTACTTGTCTTTCTTTCTGTTTTCCACTTTACTTGATCATAGCTTCCTAGAGTAACTGAAGTTAAGTCAAACGTGCTGCCTGTGCTGGTCATTTACACTGGCTAATCTGCTGTTAATACCACAATGCTGGTAACTATTTCTGACAGCTATTATAAACAATTTATTATAATAGGCTGATATATGTAGACATCCTGAAAGAATTAATGTTAAATAATAAATATACTGTAGGTCTACTAAAGGAATAAAAAAGAGATACTAGAACTGGCAGTCCCAACAAACCTTCCCAAAGAAGTCTTTCTAAAATTTCTTCCAAAGAAAGCGTAAGCTCCCGTCTTCCCTAGGCTTTTACTATAAAACTGTGGTTCTCAGAAACTTTTTTAAGAGTGCAATTCTAAAATCTCTGGATAACTTTAATACTGCTATTCCTTGTCAACTGGGGGAAGAGATGATAACTATTTTAAATACATCTCTGTTTAAATAAAGTGGCATATGTATTTTTATGTTATAATCATCAATTCAAAATGTTACAATGTCTGCTAGCCCTCAGTTATGCTTGCACATAGTCATGGGCTATTACTAATGGTAATTGTTCAGTAGATCAGATTCTGATATTTTGCTCACCATTAGGAATCTGTAGCCTTCAGTATGACTATACTGCTGTATGCTACTTCTGTTCTCTCCTACCAACATAATTCATATTCTGTTTATTCCTTTTGCCAGAAAATGATGTACGGTGTTAGTAGTTTGTACGTACATGCACCTCTTTATTGAAACATTTCAGGTGCCCATAGACTCCTGGTCTGCACTAGCTGCTTTGATTAACCTGTATTTTGATTTCCTGTTCTGACAGTCTGAGAATTATTCCCTTGACTTTTTTGCCATTTTAAATCTGAAATAACACTTGAACAGTCTTCATGTCAACTCTGCCTCTGAATTTACAATTTTCATCTCTAACCTGTCTGTGGTGAACAATTTTTCTTCCCTCTAGTATTTTTCCCTAATCTTTGGTCTGTCTCAGACAGACTCCAAGGCCAACAGATACTTCCTTATATTAAGAGCTAGAGGAACAATTCATATATTTACATTTCTTGCCACAATTTGCTACTGTAGGTTAAAGTTCCCAGTTCTTCTGATTACTGCACTTCCCAGCATACTTAATCCAAGACCATAAAAAGCAGTAAATTAATGCTGGAAGCAGATGTCTCGGATCAAGGCTTCATACCAAGTGTGAGTATCTAACTTGCCACTTAGAGTACAAATAAGTTTCATAGAATCATAGAATCATAGAATGGCCTGGGTTGAAAAGGATCTCAAAGATCATCTAGTTTCAACCCTCCTGCTATGTGCAGGGTTGCCAACCACCAGACCAGGCTGCCCAGAGCCACATCCAGCCTGGCCTTGAATGCCTCCAGGGATGGGGCATCCACAGCCTCCTTGGGCGACCTGTTCCAGTGTGTCACCACCCTCTGTGTGAAAAACTTCCTCCTAAATCTCCCCTGTCTCAGTTTAAAACCATTCCCCCTTGTCCTATCCGCCTTTCCTACACTTTTCTAGATTGGCTAGATTTGAGGTAATGGGAAATTCTACTGCAGCCACAGCTGTCAGGTAACTTAAATCTCTTCATAATGAAACTTGAGTTCCTCTCAAAATTATTGGGAGTCCAACTGAACTTACAACTGGTAATGGGAGCAGTATTTTAGTGACCTGGGTAGGACAAATTAGAGAAGTATCATAGAATCACAGAATGGTCTGGGTTGAAAAGCACCACGATGATCATCTAGTTTCAACCCCCTGCTATGTGCAGGGTCGCCAGCCACCAGACCAGGCTGCCCAGAGCCACATCCAGCCTGGCCTTGAATGCCTCCAGGGGTGGGGCATCCACAGCCTCCTTGGGCAACCTGTTCCAGTACATATTTCCATTCATAGGTTTTATGAAAACACACGTGGAAGGACATTAAATCTTTGTGTAATGGAAGAATCACTGATCACACACCTTTAAGTTATTAAAATGAACCTAGAAGAAAAATGAAATTATGGGGAAAATTTTTTGTTTTATGAAGACTGTACAACCCTTTTATGAACATGTTTTTCCAATAGAACATTGAGAAGTGTCTCAAGAAGGAAAAAACATGAATTTTAAAAGATATGTGTAAACGTTGTTTACTTATTGGAAACTATTCTAAATACATCTTCATGATGACCAGCAGTGTTGAAATAATGCCTCCACCAAGCTTGCAGAATTCTATGGTTGAGTGAGAAAATCAATTGAAAAGGAAATACTGAAGAGAAAACAATGAAGCAGTATTACATCTGGACCAAAGTGGTGCTACCAACTCAGGTGCTTATAGAACTAGAAGTGAATAAGAAAAAGTTAAAAAAAAAATCCCTAGCAAAAGTTGGAGTCTTTCTCAGAAAGGACCAAATTGGACTAAAAACACAGCAGCACATAAACAATACTTGGTTTGTGAATTCAAACTTCAAAGTATCCAGGTTCAGTTTGTTGAAATGAATCCAAGTAAGGTCCAGTAAGAAGTGGCAACCCAGAAAGTGATAACAGTTCAGAACTTGCTATGATTTTCAGTGAACTGTTGGAGGTCAGTTATAAAAGAAAGGTTCAGACTTGCAGACAGCTGTGAAAGCCAGATAGAGGTGTTGAACATTGATCCTGATCTACACTTCTCTCCATTTTCCATCTATATCCTGCAAAGATCAGATGAAAGAGTTGAAAGAGTCTGAGATCAAATATTGGAAAGGGAGACTTCCTGAAAGACATTTTGTTGTTGCTATTGGAGCTTTTTTGTTGTTTTTAGTTGATTGGTTGGTCTTTAAAATTACATCCCAAAGGCTAAACAATGAACAAAAAATGTTATGTCCTATTACTTCAGATTTATTTCCCAAGAGACACTACAATTTTAAACTTTATGCAAAGCTGAGGTGGGGATTTGGATCAAGTTATCCATATACATATAAAAGTCAATCTGAAGGAAAAGACACAGTATGTCCTAAAAAACTTTGCAGACTTTAGTAGTTTGACTTCTAGACACAATCAGAAGTGCTCAAGATAAAGTGATGGTGGGATAAATTCTATTTGATAGGGATGGGCAAATTAAGATTACCTGAAAGAAAGCAGAAGTTTCTTTGTGCATTGAGCGGAAGAAAATATTGCTACAATGCATGTCACCAGGTGGCAGTGTTACACAGTCTTGCAGCTCCTATGCTCTGTAAGAAAATTTGGGGTCTTGGAAGGAATACTGATAGGAATATTTGTTAGTTTTTGTTAGGCAGAAGGAAGTTCCAGTCTCTCTCTGCCTTGATTTTCCTGGATCAGAATCAGTTCTTGGGATGACATTGCAGTCTGGGGACTTGAACATTGGCATGGGCACCACAGTCTTTAAACAAGGGAATGGACTGGATACTCTTAAGTTGCTCTATAATGGGAAAAACAAAAGACCAAATGCAAATTTAGTAGAGATGTCCTTGACATGATTGACACTGACTGAGTCTGTAGCAATTCTATTTGTACTAGAATCTGGAAAAGTGTAAGTGGATGTGTACAGATTATCAAATAAATGCATTAAACTTTTTCTACGATAAGGCTGGTGAAGCTTTGTAACAGGTTGCCCAGAGATGTGGTGGAAGTCCCATCCCTGGAGACATCCAAGGTCAGGCTGGACCAGGCTCTGAACAACTTGATGTAGCTGTAGGTGTCCCTGTTCATGGCAGAGGATTCAGACTAGATGACCTTTAAAGGTCCCTTCCAACTCAAATGATTCTGTGATTCTAAGATTCCTTGATATGTCTTTGTTCTCTAATAAGTCAACAAAAGCAGCTCTGTACTCTAGGGTTTGCATCATAAGTGTTGCAGGATTCAAAGGGCTGGAGACTGCCAGGAATGTGTGACAGCAGGTCTAGATTTTTCTCTGCTCGCAACAGAAGTGGAAGAGCCAATTGCTGTGTCTGTCCTGATAAATGCTCTCTTTGTGTGGCAGATTTCAGTTGTAGAACAAGCATACACAAATGACCCTGTGTTTAGTTTTCTGGGGATTACAAAAAACAAACAAACAAACAAACAAACAAACAAACAAAAGAAAAAACAAAACCACCCTGCATTTCATACTCTTTGCCTTCTCCCTTTGCTGCAGGACCAGTGTTTGCTCCTTCTCATTTGATCTTGCACTTACTCAAGTAACTTCCCATTCACTGACTCACCTGGCATATTATGAAGCTGTGCACATCTTCTTGAACAGCAGCATCAGTCAGAGGCTAGTATTTGGCTAATTTGCAGACAGGGATTACACCTCACATCATTCTTGCTACAGTTTTGATTGCAGCTTGTCACTAGCAAGGCTCACCATTCCTTGTCCCTGGTGGCCATCATATTCTCTAAGCGGGGAACTCCAGTAAGCCCCTTACATTGGCTACAAAGAGATTTTCTTTGCTAGCAAACATGCTGGAATTCAACTTGAATTTTGTAATGCTTGGCTATGTCACAGTGCAAATGGCAAGAGGGAAAACAGTTTTTCCTTCCTTAAGTTATGAAATGTAAATGGTTTGGTGGTGTAGTCTACATTAAATTAAACCTTCTCAGAACCTTTCTTGGATACTGAAGTCATATGCCATGCCATGACCTGACTTGCACAGATGCTCTCAGTGACTGAGTGCTGGTTGGAAATATCTTCTGGAATGGTTTGATTCCCAAACTATGTTCATGGGTTGTTTGGCAGAGTGCTTGACACAAGCCAAAACATGTTAGACCACTTTATTATTGTTTACTTTGCTAGATGGGCACTAGCGTTGCCTGGGAATGATCACTGTTTCATTTGCTGGTACAGATGCCCACTGTGAATCTTTTGCAAGAGCAAAAGATGACCAAGTCTGCTTGGTAGAAAAGAGGTCTGTCTATGTGCAGCAAAGCCTTGGCATCAATCTAAGAGATCTAACTCAGAGTTTTCAGAAATATTCCTTTTTGGACAAGAAACTATCTTCACAGCAATTGTTGCTAAAAATAAAGAAACAAAAATCCTATGAACAATTCAACTGAGTTAAACAAAGAAGAAATTAATCAAATGCTGACTGTCCCAGTTTTCCTAGGTCAGTATCTTACTTATGGAACTATCAACAAGTAGCAGTGTGTAAAGTATGACTTGTAGATGTGATTTCTTATGTACTGGAACATATAAAACATTTAAGACTATGAAACAGTAGCATAGTATAGACATGAAACCCATTGTGAACTGATACTATGTCACTCCCAGGACAGTGTATGAAAACAGCCTTGGTGACTGGAGAACATATTTAAACTCACACTTATGCATCATCATCTCTGCTAGACTGAAAACATTGCTTCTATGATGTCAGTGTTCTAAC